TGATACAAAAAGGTACAGTGTTTAAGACCGATCAAGCACATACTTATTCCCTTATTAATCCGTATAGGCATGACAGCCTGGTATAAAATGAAGACATTCTAACACTGCCCCAGATTCTATGGCACTTCCCCAAAAGCACTAAAAGTTAACAACTGAGATACCGGCTGATCCAAGTGAATATTCATTGAAGTAATTCTTCAAACTCACCATCCTCACTGATGCCGCTGCTGGAGCTAGTCTTCTTCTGGAGTGGGGAAGAGCTCCTGCCTACCCCCTGGCCATCTCTGGGATGCGAACCCGCCTGCACATTCCCTGCCATCCCCTTAGGGGTTGGCGACGGGGAGGGGGTCAGGGTAGGGGAGGTGCTGCGTGACATCCCACTGACTGGGCGGGGCTTGGACTGGGTCAGCGGGCCGGATATGGTAGAGGATGCGGAGCTTGCACTGGCTGGATTTGCATTTGGAGGAGTGATGGGAAGAGGGGGCAACCTGCAGAGTGACGAAAATGCTTTGTGTAAAGCTCAAATCATGCACATAATTGAAACCACTTTCAATTATTTTTTTTCATTTTTTCTTACGTCAGAGAAAAATGGAACACTTATCCTTGGCAAATTTACAGTTCAGAATTTGTGGGAAATGTACTGCTGCCCTCACTTAAAAATAGGTAACTGTTGTGTAGTATTCAAATACAAATCTGTCAGGGTAAGATCACATCTGCATGTTGATCATAACAAGTCATTGTTATGAATGCCAGACAATGTGCACTATTCTTATGCAAATTCCCCCCAAATACAAGATCTACTGAAGAGAACGATGGAGTTTGTGTTTTCTTTGTTCATCATATTAGTGTCTTTTTTTAACTGAAAGTGCACCCATGATTGGAGACAAATACATTCCTCACAGGACATCAACCTTTGATAAACACTAAAGATAAGGATTCCAGTGCCACACATCTTCAAGCTATAAATATGGTGGGTTATGCTACCTTGCATGTTGTGCACTGGTTGATTGCTTGGTGGATGGCTCTTGATTAGAGGACGGCTGTCTTGTTGGAAGAGAAGACACTGGAGTAAACAAAGGCTCCGCAACTGAACCTGCGTGTGTATAAAAAAAATATGCAAATGATAAGTGGTTGGTTCAGCTGTATTCCTGAGTGATTGCAATAACGTTATGGACAAGAGAAAAGAGTCAGCTTTAGTGCTCAAATAAGCATTCAAAAATGAAAAACTAGTCATCAATGCTTAGTCTCTTGGTAGTTTTTCAGAGAAAACTCCAACTCGGAGAAAATCCCAGCAGTGAGCACCAACAGCAACGGCCCAATCTTTGCCCTAAAACCCTCTCGTGTTGCACAGGTTCATGTCTCCAACTATGACAATGAATTCCTCTACAAACAGTGATTAGAAGATGTTTGTTAAAACACATCAGCTGTTTGCACAATGTTTCCCCTTTCCCTCAGGCTTTGGCAGGAATGCTATCCTATCAAGTGTTAATCCAAACCAACCCCAGTGCAATCAATAACTCCAATACGTCTTCAAGCAGCACAAGGCTGCATTGACTTCGTCACACAACACACGTAAGCTAACGAAGCTACCAAAGCGCACATCTACAAGGCAAGATCTGAAATGGTTGTCTTGCTGAGTAGAAATGCTTCAATAGACAGAGATCCAACTCACTAAGTTTAGAAGTTCCAGCCACCTCGTGGAGGTTTAAACTTGTCCTCCTAGCATTCATGAATCCCCGGCTAAGCACACCAGCCTCAGCAGATGAGTTGGGACTAGCTGTGGTACTCATGTGGGCTGAATTTGAAGGGCTGATACCGCTGGTGCTTGCTGACCGACGAGAGAACATGAGTTTGGTGGGTGGTCGGCCATGTGGTCTGCTGCTTCCTACACCCTGTGGTTTTTTTTTTATAAAGTTCAAATGGTGCTCTGAACAATTTGGCCAGCTGCATTACTGATCAGTTAGTAGTCATTAGACAAAATGAAAAACAGGTGTGTTCCTAGTTACTCAACCCAACCTAGAAAATCACACCTGACTACCAACTGTAAACTTTTTTTCCCCAATATTTTAAAGCTGGGAGTTTGCAGAAGCCTTTTTTAAAAGTGGCTTGCTCCAGTAATATGCACAAAACATGTTTCGACAATTCTTGATCATTCAATTAGTGTATACATAGTGCTATTATGAGGAACTAACAGGTAAAGAATTTAACGCCAGTAAGAATGCATTACCTGTCCATTGGCCAGCTTTGTCAATGAGGCTTTGGAAGTGTGATGGGAACGTCTAGACCGATCAGCTGCATGTAGCTCAAAGCTGGGAGGGGGCAAGAAAGGAGGAACGACAGGGAGAAGCTTGTCGCTAGGCTGCTGGATGGATGGCAACATCATAGACTGCATGAACACAAACACAGGTACAATCACTCGCTAGCAATCTTTACAACAGAGTCACTGCAGCAACAATCATGCTTGTGAGCTACAAAATGCCTGACTGTGTGGGTTTCCTATGTTCTGACGAGAACCGTGTATCACTGTCAAATAGGGCACTGATGGAAAGACATTCAGCTGTGTCCACACTAACTTGCACTCTTTTAAGACAAGACAAGCTTGCAAACATTCTGAGGAAATTTAGTCACGTGTGTTCCGTGCCCATATGTGATGAACCACTGTATGTCTACCGTGACATCTTTCATGGATGGCTGTTGTTAAATCACAGAGCACTATCTACTGGCAACCGGAGACAAAGGGTTTCCACGTAGATAGTCTGCAAAGGACTAAATGCTTATCTCAAAGGAAACAGGTTCCACAGTTACGTGTGTAGATCAAATACATTGACATCATACATTTCCCACAACTCGTTCACTCTGCCATCTCTGATGTCAAGTCATGTCTGACATGAGCACAGTTGTCAACGGCTACAGCTGAACACTGTGATCTGCTAGTGGCAAAGACAGAATTCATAGCCACACAGTAACCACATCAGACACAGGCTGACATCGCAGATGGCATTCTTCAGAGGATTATGGGAAATGTCACATACACCTGGAATGCCGAGGAGTTCATGATCCTCTTCAGTCCTGTCAATTTCTCTGGAGTTCATATGGGCGTTTTAAAATACCTACATACATGTATGTACACACACGTCTGATACATGCCGAATTTAACAAACGGTCCACTTTTAAGTTTATGTATCATTCAAGGTCTCCCAACAAAAGGCTCAATGGATTCCAACACACACAGAACTGTAAAATAATGAACTTACAGGTTTTTTTATCAAAGGCTAGAAAAAATTTCACTGCTATGATTTTTTTTTTGCATATTATAAACACTCACCACAGATTGTGTAGACTGCATGCTGACATCGAGACCACTATCTCGCCCAACTGTTCATACAAAAAGGATACCAAATATACACGTAGTCACTTTTTTCCTTGAAGCGGGAGTGGAATTTTACATGATGCCAAGCGCATTCTTGAAATGAGACTACAATTAACAGTGACTACCACAATGCTATGACTCCTAACTTGAGAGTTCTGTCAGTGTTCAGTGCTTGCATGTATGAATTTTATAAATAAAAAGCTGTTAGAAGTTATACCTTTCCAGACATTTTTAATTTATGCGGGTAGTCGTAGGACATGATAAAATAGGATGGAATGAATTCAGAACTATGCTGAAGTCATTCTTTGGGTCACTTGGTAAACACCTCAAAGAAGCACAGCTGTGTCGTGTTGTGCACTGCACCAACAGTCCCTCACAGGAATATCAGATTGCACTTTTGTGCTGCCCAACAACTGTGCTTCACTGTTTCATGTGCATAACTGTGCAGTAAACCAAATGCAGTGAAGAGGACTGCACAAAAGACCCGGTGTCAGTTTGTGCTGGCAATCAACTGTGTACACACTGAACCTGTGCATGTTTGTGTGCCATATAGAAAACATATGCAAGAGAGTGACTGTGGGCACTTGTGCATATTTGTGCTATAAAACCAAACGAGGGCTAAATGCAACGTGCAAATACAACATTCACAAATAACATACAGCCCGCTTTCTGTCATTTCATTTAGTATCTGCTGAACACCCAGCCCCGTGTTTGCGTTGCTTACACAAAGTAAAATGAAACATTTATATACTGATAGTGCATTTAGATTTTGGTAATATTGGCTCTGTTGACGAATCGTTGTAGAATACAGATACAGATGTGCGAAATTGCAAATAGCCATACAATATTCAAGTTTTCCATAGATTTGTGCACAAACACAGATGCACCCAGCAGGCTTCACTTGCACAGTGAGTTAGCATTCTAGTAATTGTATACACTTCTATAAGTATAAATCAAATTCATGTACATCAAGGTTTATTTCAGGTGAATACTTGATGTTAGTTCAATTACCACAGGCAGCTAACACCCGCTATCCACCCTCGGACCTTGTTATATTTGTACGGTACCTACCACTGTTGCGGGATTGGTTCAACTCTGAAGTCTGCTCCCTATTATTCTTCCTGCAACTTTGCCCATCATCTTCATGCATCTGGACTACTGCATCCTGGGATACCTTCAGTGTGGCATTTGGTGAGAGACTGTTCTGGTCTTCAAACGGTGTAAGGGGGGTCGATGAGAGGCCAGCCCTCAAGGTGCGCGAGAGTTTCAGGTTACGGAAACGGTTGGACATGCGTGACCACCAGGCCTGAGAAGAACAATGCAAAGAGTAAAGTTCTGCTTTTGTCTTAGTTTACTTGAATAATTCATGAATTGCTCAAAACCCGATGATTGGAATTCACTACCCACTTGTTGAAATGTGTATATAAAAATTACTTGACTGCTACATAGGAAGTCATATGGACAAAAGCGTGCTGGTCATTCTCAGACCCTATATCAGAAGTCATATGGACGACAGTGCACTCATCATTCACAGACCCAACATC